ATCCAAAAAGAAAATGCAATTCCCTTCCAAGTAGTTGAGATTTCTATCTAGAATGTATGAACTGTGTTGTGACACAAATAATATTTGATCATCCAAGTTATTTAACCTAGTTGTATCGATGGATGTGATAGTAGGATAACCAATCTTCAACACATAAAATCCACGAGTTGAGTCATACGTAAATAGACACATAGTATCATAATGATCATAGTAGTCTATTTGAGTAGCTGTATGTTCAACCATCTTTTGAACAAGTAAAATTTCACCTTTGGACTCCACCAAATATGACACGAACCCTCCACAAACCGATGTCAATCCTAATTCAAATTCAATTTCATTATATTGTTGGACATCAGGACAAGGGACTAATAATATTTTGAGAATAACATCCTCATCCCCTATCCTCAATGGATGTGTTTCAAGAAAATGTAATTTTGTGTGGATCAAAGCATGCAATATTCCATTAGAATATAGGATGTCTTGTAAATAAGTATCATAATCCCAGATAGTCCAACTCTTGTCTTTTGGCCTGCAAATTGCCAACTTATCATATGGAAACATGATTCCTACAACTATAACGTTTGCAGAATCTGTCGATGATAATTCAAATTTAAAAAAAAAAAAAGTGATCAATATCTTGTGAAACTTTCAATTCAGATTGGTGAGTTAGGTAAGTTTGAAAAGATGGAATTGTCGTGAGAGGAGGTAGCTGAATATGTATACCTGAGATTGGATTGAAGAGAAAACTTCGGGGATTGCGTTGAGGGCCATTACCAATTATAAGCCAACCTTGGAAGATCCAAAAAACCAATTGACTCTTCCTAATTTCTTGGGGAGGTTGAATTTATAAAGAAAGCCTCCACACAAATCAAAGAATCTCACACAATTCGTTTCCCTTTCATAAGGTAGCATCATCCATGGGAAGATGACAATGTTTTGGACATTGTTTTGCAATGCTGATCTCCCTGACATGCAAGTCCTACTCATACTAAGAGCATCACGTAAACTTAATTTGCGGATAATTTCGCCTAATATATCTTCCGAAAGTGACTCCCAAATCCTCTTCTCCTCCTTATCATCCCTATGGTGTTTCTCCTCTTTCTTTTCGAATTTGCTCTGTAACAGAGTTAACGTCTTTTTCAAAAGGTTTGCCATGGAATTGAACGGGAAATTTCAAGAAATTTGATACAGGGAGGGAATTATGGTTTCTTATGTCAAAGAAGTATACTAGTATATATATAATAAGTTTGTGATATGCTTTTACGAGTAGGAATAGAAATTTGAATAAGAGTTAAATTTATTAATTTCCAATACCAATAGGATACTGATTCTACAGATAGAGTAGGAGTAGGAATTTAAATAAGAATAAATTTATTGATTTTTAAGAATTTTAATAAGAGTAATTTATTAATGAGTGATGCTATATACGCATCCCAGCAATTAAATTATTAACCCATATTTCTATATAATATCTAAAATTACCCTTTTAATTTTGTATTTTTCTTTTTTCTTTTTAAAAGAAAAAGTTTCAAGACATTGCAATTAAATTTCTCAATTCATAATTGTTCTAAAACTAGTGTTTCTCGATACTACTATCTATATAAGAGTTATAAATGACTGTGGGTCTTTTTTTATTTATTTTTGGCAAGGATTTAAATTGATATAGGGAATCATGGTTTCTTGTGTCAATTACACATGACGAAATAAAATAGATTATGAGTTGTGAAAAGCCTCTACAATTGAAAAAGGTTAAGGAAGAAAATAAAAAGACAAAAGCCGCCGAATTATTATATATTAGTATCGCATAGTTAAACAAAACCCAAGTAATCAATTAGTTTTACAACTCTCTGCAGGTTTGGTTGAAATAAAAAAAGTGGGACTCTTAAGAACAAGGAATGTGCCATATCTGTGTTGCTTGAGTTTACATATTCCATGAAAGTTTACAGGCAGCATGATGTTTCAGATTGGTGTCGCTATGGAGGTTACCATCAGACAAAGTGATTCTTTCGTATCTGAAGAGGACACAATCTTGCTCCCCTCCTCGTACAAGTTACCATCTGTGGGAAAAAAAGTTGATGATAAAATTGATTAGTTTATGTCATTTTACACACAAACGTCATTAGACAAAATGAAAGATGAATAACAGCTTGCAGTAAAATGACACGTATCATTCAACTCTGGGACAAGCTACCCACTGTCACTCTCCTCTTGCCTTTGACCAGCATCTTCCAGAGGAGTACTAATCGTCATTGCTCTTAAGGGATCCAAAAACTAGTTTCTGGAGAAACTTTATCAGGCATTCGTAATCAATCAACTGTATCCTAAGTATGATCGTAGTGAAGCAGTAAACTAACTGTTTGCTTCTAAACCCAGGCATGAAAATATGAACACCAAATCTGTATACTACACTAAACATCACAATATTCTAAAAGTAGTCTTCATCAAGAAAAAAAGAATAAGGAGGGTAAGGATGAGTGCTATGTAGGGAGCGTAAGTGAATTGGTAAGAGTTCGGTTCGTTCTTGCGAGGCGGAATATTCCGAGGCCTCCTCCCTCCGGTGTCTCTTATCCGTTTGTGCCAAGCCATATCCTTTTTCTTTTTGATTGATCTGTTACTTAAAAAGTTCACCTCTTGCCTCTATTTATAATGGCAACTAATCTGTATAACTGTAAAACCCCGTCCTAACTCCTAATATATATTACATATTGTGAATTATTATTTTTTTTTTTAATGGAAGGGATTTCTGTTAGTTTTTAGAAGTTTTATTGGTAGTGAAATTAAAAAGAAATGGAAGCGGCTGGGTTTGCACGTTATGTAGGGGCAAAAATCTGGAGGTTTTTGCAAGGAAAAGCTGATGTGGCAGGAATTTAATGGGATTATGTATAATTTGGGGGCAAAACATAATTCTAAAAAGATTAAAAGTATAAAACGAGGCAAAATTCGTTCAAATCAAGGAGAAGAAGAAGAAGCCGAGAGAGAAGAAGAATGGAGGGAAAGAAATAAAAGAGAGGAAGAAAGGAGAAAGAAGAGAGAAGGGAGAAGAGAAGAAAAAAGGGGGAAGAGAAGAGAGGTTGTATTCGGCCGAGAGGTAGAGTGAGAGAAGAATGGAGAAAATGGAGTGAAATAGTATGGGGGAGGAGAAAAATCAGTAATCCAAGTTTGGATATTTCATGCATGGAAGCTAAACAGTAGATCTACTCACCTTCTTCTTCAATCAAGGAAAAAGATTAACTTGTGTTTGTTCTTGATGATAGGATCCGAAGCGAAGACTGGGTGAGAGTGCTAGGAGCTTCGCAAATCCTTTTGCCGATCGGGCCATTCTCCACCGTTCGCAAAGGTTTGTTTGTAACTTTGAATTCAGGGTTTTCAATTTACAAACGATGGCGAAAAGGACCAGGACGAGATTGAGAGTTGGGGGTGTATTTGTAATTTTCACAAAGCATATTTGTCATTTTTGTGAATAGTAGGGATGTATTAAATTTTTACAAAGCATATTTTGGCTGCCCTTTCTTCTTCCAAGTAAGTGAACTATTTAATTATATGTATTTCTACATTTGTGTATATATATTGCATTTGGTCATCTCTAGTGTAAACAAAATTAAAGATTTTATATTATAATAACTTCTATTATAAAGATAATGTGAATGAAACTTGCTGTATTGACTACCATATCAAAAAATGTTGTGGCAATTGAGATTTTTATGATGTTTGAAATGAGTGTCACATCATTTAAATTATTAAATTTATATAAATTATTTAAAGGCTGAATATGTAAAGAATTGAAAGAAGTTTACAAATTTTTATCTATTCGACAACATTAATTTTTCCCAGTAGAGAATTGAGATCTATGTACATATTCTATTTGAACTTGTAGACTTTTGGAAAACTTTTAATTCTGTAGCCGTGTCAAACTTCTATCCTAATTTAATTAATTTATTTTTATATCATTGAAACTGATCGTGGTTGTATAATATGTTCTCTCTTTATTTTCACTGTCAACTCTACGTGCTTAGTAAAAACATTATTGTTGTAGATTTTCGCAAGTGTACGAAATCGTGCAAGTAATAAAGTGTATAAATACGAATATCGAATCCAATGGAATTACTATTATCAATTATCAACTAAACTATCATATTACTATTTGATCAATCCAAATTGTAGCAAGGAAAACCTAAATAAAATAAAATTAACAATTGAAATTAAAAAGAGAACAATTAAAATAATCCTTCAGGTAAAAACGAGATGACTAGTCCTAGGGCATAGCCTTCACACCAACTCTTACTCATATGTATCGATCACTTATGCTAATTTTATTAAGCTCTTTCTACAGGTCAAACTCCCTAAATTTCCAATAAATTTCTCTCGAACAATTATCGAATTAACTCCTAATTACTAACTCGAATTATCTCTAATCAGATTTAAGCAATTGAAGATTATTATGCTTTATGGAGTTTACCAAAACCTCACAAGTCGCGATAACTTATTTTTAGCGTTCGCTCAACTTATGGTTTCACTACTATAGAAAAATTAAGTATCGTCTCTCGATCTCAACCTGGTCCATTAGTTCATTCAATTTTTGAGCCCTTAAAAATAAAAAACATTAGGTATAATAGTAAAACTTAGGAATAATTCTTAATAAAAATTAACAAGCAAAAAACAATACATAATCAAGAGATTGGGCTCTTAGCCCTAGAGAATAAATTTAGTTCATAATAAATATGAAAGAAACAATCATTTTTATTAAAACAATCATCATGAGTTTATAAGAAAAGAACAAGAAAAACTTCTTTATGTTGTGAATCAAAGCTCCAGAACTTTTGTTACTTCTCTTCTCTGCAGATTTTTCTCCTTTCCTTCTCCCTAAGGAATCCCCCAAATAATAGTAAAAGACTTCTATTTATATCCCACAAGGGTTAGGGTTTTATTTTTCTTAATTCTATTTGGTTTTGGACTCTTAACCCTATTTTCCTACATAAAAACGAATATCAAAATTATTTAATCTAATTCTTGAGGATGTTGAGAAGGGGCACTCGTGTTCTGATCAATCGCCCAGACAAACACTCAAGTCCTTCTTCAAGATCTTGAATGCTGCATTCCAATTCTTTAAGCTGGTTTAGAACATGAGATATGTTATCAGATTTGCCTGTCTTTTGACTAATGATGGTAGACATGCAGCATCCACCTTTTCGAACTCATTTATGTCTGCTTCATCTTCCTCACATGCAATTCTTTTTGGTTGCATTAGCTTGGAAACTAATGACCAGCTGCTTAGCTTTGATGGAGTCCTTGGCCCTGAGATAAACGATAACAAGGATTCGGTCACAGTGAAAGTGATTGCTTCAACCTCTCTTAACATGCTGATTGTGGCCTTTGTCTCATTTTTCTCATTGATTGCAGAGGCGCATTTGTTTTGCATGCCCTTCAAATTCACCAAGGCCTTGTGGGTTGCCTTTTTCATCGCTTTCCTAAAGGTTAAATACTTCTTAACCTCACTTGTAAGTTCCATATTGTTAGGGCCAAAATTCGTCCTTAGCCTAAATAGGAAAACGGGCCTAATAGTAAGGAAGAAACCCGGCCCAATCCCGATGCGATCTAATCCAGATTAGGCCAATTTGATACGAGATACAGTCGGCCCAAACCATCTGAGCACAAGCTTCTTAATCCCAGTTCATTTCCTGGGTCCATATGCGAATCCAAAAGCCCACGACCCCTACAGATCACTTTCTTATTCCTGATCAATCTCTTATTTGAGGTCACCTTCCTGTTCAGATCACTTTCCTACTCGAAGTTACTTTCTTGATTGGGATCACCTTCCTATCCAGACATTGGTAAGACAGCTCACCACCGCCCTAACCCCTCTAGGGTTGTACCAGAATCGCACTAGGACTCCTACTTCTACCAGGATTGGGAGACCAGACAGTCACTATATAAACAAAGGTCAACCCTCTCTCAAAGGACATGACATTACACCTTCACACCCGAAGCTCTGAGTTGAGAACTTCACCTTACTGCCGTAGTCACAATCCCCGACTAGACTTTTGGTAACTTCTCTACTCCCTAGCCCTCACTACACTAGCCTCTTTCAGCCTTGCTGACTTGAGCGTCGAAATGCCTACGGCAAACACCATCCCGGTGTTTTCCGTTTACTTCATGCTTGTTTTTCTACGTGTGTAGGTGCATCGGATCGCTAGTGGCCTCAACCTCACGGGATCAGACCCCCCTTCTGTATAGGTAGATTTTTACGTTTACAGTTTGGCGCCCACCGTGGGACCTCTAGCAATCATTCGGCTCAACGAACCTTGCTACGTAGAGGAATTTTCCATGGCTGACAACTCCGACAACGCTAACCAGGCCTCAAGGCCAAACTAGAGGCTTTGACCGCCCTCATGCAACAGAACTCAGACAAGATAGCCGCACTGGAAGCAGAGAACAATGCAATCCGGACTGAAAACGCATCCATTAGGGTAGAAAACGAGTCTCTTAAAGAGAAGGTGAGTCAATTCTATGATCTAGAGTTTCTGCCTGGCTAGGTACCTCCCAATCGGCATACCAGAGCACCAAGCCTCGGTCTCCGGTAAAAGGCCGCGTCTGTTAAGTTCATCAGCGGTCGACGATTCTATCCTGACACATGGAGATAAAGATACGCCAACAGAACGCCATTCAGCCAACCCATCCTAGCCTCAAGGTCAAGACGATCCAGCCACAGGTAGCCTGCACCCGCAAGACTAGCCCATTCCTACCGTCCCACCTCAACTCCAATCAACCACCCCAACACAAACCCCATTAGGCTCGGCTCACCCTCACGGGTTGAATGGCCAAACCAAACAAACCACAGCACTTGAGCCCACCCTTCTTGACGGACCAAGTGACTATCAGACTACTCCCCTAACCATTCGTGTAGGGCGAAACACCAGAACAGTTACCATGGGAGTCATCCAACTAGAAGGAATGAACGAAGATCCATGCTACCAGGGAATACACGAAAGAACGACTCATCAGACTACCCCGCAAGGGATGACCCAACGGAATGTGCTGAGGACGAATGCAATAGCAGACCCAGTCAGACGGGATGACCTAGTAGTATCCCCCTCTCATACGAAACAGGTACTAGCCAAGAGGCTAGCTGACGTGGAGGCAGTGATGAGACGCATCCCAGGAATGCCGGTCCCAACCAAGAAGAGCAGGCCCCACTGTTACACGGATTCACCCTTTGTGGATGAGATCGCCCTGGCCGACATGCCCCAAAAGTTTACCATCCCCAACATGAAACTGTACGATGGCACAATCGACCCGAACGATCACATAGCCTCGTACAAGTAGCAGATGTTCACTGTTTCAATACCCTGACCGCTGAGGGAAGCCTGCATGTGCAAAAGTTTCGGTTCAAGCTTGTCCGGCCCGGTACTCAAATAGTACACGAATCTCCCGAATGGATCCATCGACTTCATTCACTCAGCTCACCCACACCTTCGTGGAACAGTTCGCCAGCAGTAAGAAACTCAAAAAGTTGTCGGTCGACCTATACAGAGTATACCAGAGAAGGGGAGAACCCCTAAGAGAGTATGTCATTAGGTTCAACAAAGAGAAGATCTCCATTCCCACATGTAATCCCGAGATAAACCGAGCAGTTCACTCCATATACGACTCAAGGCGGAATGATAGGAAGCCAGAGCACAGATCAGTGGAGCACCATTACCAACCCCCAGCACGTAATACCAGCAGAGTCAGAAAACCGTATGATCACCAGCCAACGAGAACCGACAACAGACAGTTTGGATCAAATCGATACAAAATACCGGAGTACAACCTCAACCCCGAACCAATCCAGGTCGTCGCGATTATGAAAGAAATGGGATCCACCGTTAAGTGGTCGGAAAAGCTCAATCCCGAGGTAAGGAGAGACACGACCAAGTGGTGTAAGTTCCACAGCGACCATGGACACAACACCGCAGACTACATCGCCTTGCGGCTAGAGGTCGTTGCACTTCTCAAAAGGGGACATCTCCGAGATCTACTAACAAATAAGGGAAAAAACACTATTAGCTAGAGAAGCTCAAAAGAACCATCACCACCTCCGCGAGAACCCACACCGAAAGGACTTTGTTCGCTCATCTCCTAAGGATTAGAGATCAGTGGGGTAAGTTACTCATCAGCCAAGCGATACGCCAGAGCCAACCATCACCATGAAGTCCAATCCATCCATCCGGTCTCACGGCCACACACTCATCAAGTAATTCAATTTGAAGATGATGAGCCGGTCACCTTGGCTGCTCCCCATCACAATGCTCTAGTCGTCTCCCTGCAGATCACCAACATCCTAGTGAAAAGAGTATTCGTAGATGGAGGCTCTTCAGCAAACATCCTATTCCTCGAAGTAGTGAAGGCTATGGGGCTACAAGAGGCAAACATCAACAGATGGCCGACACTGCTAGTTGGCTTCAGCTCCGAGCAGAAGTATACTATCGGGGAGATCATCCTCCCTATTTACATCGATGGAGTGAACAAACAGACAGTCTTTCTGGTAATTGACTGCCCCTCACCCTATAACGTCATCTTAGGCCAACCCTGAATCCACAACATGCGGGCAGTCCCATCTACCTTCCACCAGATGATTAGGTTTCCAACCAAGTGGGGGGTACGAGAGATCAAGGGCGACCCCAAAGCTTCCAGAGATTGCTACAAGAATGCCTTCAAAGGCAAAGATAACTCTTTATAGCAATTACAGTCTCATCCAACCCCTCCGACCAGGCCGGATGAATCATCTATGGAAGAGTTGGATGAAGTACAGATACATCCGGATGACCCCGAGAGAAAGACACACATAGGGTCCCGCCTCAAGCCCGAGACAAGAGAGAAGCTGATAGAATTCCTTAAACAGAAACAAGACTGTTTCGCCTGGTCCCACGCCAACATGACCGGAGTCAGTCCAGAAGCAATGGTCCACCAACTCAAGGTAGACCCAGATCACCCACCAGTAAAGCAAAAAAGAAGGAAATCCGTACCAAAGTGTAACCGAATTGTTAATGAAAAGGTTGAGAAGCTACTGAGTAATGGTATGATCAGAAAGGTCCACTACCCCGAATGGCTAGCGAATGTCGTGGTCGTAAAGTAAAAGAATAGGAAGTGGAGAGTGTGCATTGATTTCAAGGACTTAAACAAAGCCTGCCCCAAAGACTCATTTCCGCTCCCATATATTGACATGATGGTTGACGCAACCGTAGGTCACAAGCTCCTTAGTTTCATGGACGTTTTCTCATGGTACAATCAGATCTTGATGCACCCGGACAACCAAGAGAAGACAACCTTCATTATGAAAAAGGGAACCTATTGCTACAAGGTGATGCCATTCAGCCTTAAGAAAGCCGAGGCCACCTACCAGTGACTGGTCAACAAGATGTTCTCTGAACACCTCAGAGATACTATAGAGGTATACATCGATGACATGCTCGTCAAGTCCTTGATGGCCAAACAACACCTTGACCACCTTAGCCAAGCATTCGTCATCCTCAGGAAATACAACATGAAGCTAAATCTAGCCAAGTGCTCATTCAGCATCTTGTTAGATAAATTCTTGGGCTATATGGTGACTCAGTGAGGGATAGAAGCCAACCCCAACTAGATCAGAACGATCCTCGGTATACCATCTCCGACCTACATCAAAGACGTCTAACGCCTGGCAGGACGAGTGGCCGCCTTGAGCCGCTTCATCTCCAAATCAGCTGACAAGTGCCATCTCTTCTTCTATGCTCTCAAGAAGTCCAAGAAGTTCGAGCGGACCCCCTCCTGCGAGGAAGCTCTACAACAGCTGAATAGATACCTGACCTCCCCTTCGCTTCTCTCCAAACCTGAAGATAATGAGAAGCTCTACTCTTACCTGGCGGTCTTAGAGATAGCCATCTCAATAGTAGTAGTTCAGGAAGAAGAAACAAAATAGTTGCCGGTCTACTATGTAAGCAAGTCACTCCTTGACGTGGAAACACAATATAGTCAACTGGAAAAACTGGCCTTCGCCCTCATCCATGCATCCAAAAAGCTCAGGCCGTACTTTCAATGCCAGTCCATAGTCGTAATCACGTCCTTCCCACTCAAAAAGATACTGCACAAACCAAAGCTATCAAACCGACTCATGTAGTAGACAGTGGAGCTTAGTGAGTTAGACATATCCTACCAACCCCGCACCGTCATCAAATCTCAGGCGCTAGCAGACTTCATTGCTGACTTCATACCGAGCACCACTACCCAAGCAGAAAAGGAACTGTTATGCATGAACGGCGGATCACCCTCTAAGTGGACTCTTCTAGTGGATGGCTCGAGTAACGTGAATAAAAGCGGACTCGAAATAGTACTGATTACACCAGAGGGAAACATCATCCAACGAGCAATCTGGTGCGGGTTCAAGTGTATGAACAACGAGACTGAATATGAGGCCCTCATGCCTGGACTTTCTTTAGCTAGAGAAGTTGGAGCGAAGAGACTAGAGGTGAAGTCTGATTCCCAGCACGTGGT